CCCCCGTGTGTTCTCCTCACCCCTCCCGTGTGTTCCCCTCACCCTCGTGTGTTCTCCTCACCCCCCTGTGTGTTCTCCTCACCCCGTGTGTTCTCCACACCCCCGTGTGTTCTCCTCACCTCCCGTGTGTTCTCCTCTCCCCCCACCCTGTCTGTTCTCCTTACCCCCCTTGTGTTCTCCTCCTTGCTGTGTGTTCCTCTTGCCCCCAGTGTGTTCTTCTCACCCCCCCTTGTGTGTGTTCTTCTCACCCCCCCCTTGAGTTTCTCTCACTCCCCCCTTGTGTGTTCTCCTCCTCCCCCCTTGGCTGTGTTCTCCTCACTCCCCCCTTGTGTGATTCTCCTCACTTCCCACTTCCCTTGTGTGTTCTTCTTACTTCCCCTTGTGTGTTCTCCCTCCTCCCCCTTGGCATGTTCTCCTCCACACCCCCTTGTGTGTTCTCCCTCCCACTCCCATTATGTGTTCTCCTCTCCCCTTGTGTGTTCTCCTCACTGCAGCCTTGTGTGTTCTCCTTACTCCCCCTTGTGTGTTCTCACTATCCCCCCCTTGTGTGTTCTCCTCACTGGCCCCCGGTAGTCTCCTCCCCTCCCCCAGCAATGTGTTCTCCTCCACTTCCCCTTATGTGTTCTCCTCCTCTCTCCCCTTGTGTGTTCTCCTCCAGCCCCTTGTGTGTCCCTTCTCCTAAGCCCCCCTTGTGTGTTTTCCTCACTCCCCCCCTTGTGTGTTCTCCTCACTCCCCCCCTTTGTGTGGTCTCCTCACTTCCCCCCCCTTGTGTGTTCTCCTCATCCCCCCCGTGTGGTCTCCTCACCTACCCTTTCCTGTGTAGCGTGGCCGAGCTCCTCTGTGGTCCACTGTACAGGATTTTCTGTTTCCTGTACCCGGCCGGACTGACAGGAAGTGCACACTGAGTGAGCACTTCCTATCAGTCCGGCCAGGTATAGGAAACGGATGTTCCTATACTGCAGACCGGAGAGGAGCTCAGCCACACTACACAGGGAGGGGGAGGTGAGGAGAGAGGCAGTGCTGCAGCCACCTGAGGCTCTCTATAGAGCTGCCTAGTTCGCCTTATAGGAAGCGCCAGCCCTGAATGCATGGGTGTGTTTCTATGTAGTGTTGGCTCAAATGCAGGTGTGGTATTGTGTGTAGTGCTGTTGTTTGATTAGAAGGGTGCTTGTATATTATTTTAGTGTATTAATACTGGTGAGTGTTTGTAAGTAATGTTTGCCTTTGGTTGCAGGGGTGTGTTTGGATGTAATGTTGCCTTTTAAATGCGAATGTACATTTGTATGTAGTATTTTTGTATGCGTAAAGAGGTGTATTTGTACATAATTTTGGAGATTGAATGCAAGGATGTCTTTGCAAGTTGTGTTGGTGTTTGATTGTTTGGATGTATGAATATACACTTATACACATACATACCTACACATATATACATTCACATTAACACACAGATACATACATATAAACACACTGACACATACAAACGCATAGATACACACAGCAACACATACACACACTGACACATGCACGTATCCTGACACATGCACACACCCTGACATATACAGACACAGATGCACACACATACACAGATGCACACACATACTGACACATGCACACACTGACATAAACTGACACATGCACACACCAAGATGCACAAACACAGATGCACACACAGATACACACACAGACACACATACTGACACATGCACACACTGACACACAGTTACACACTCACAGATACACACACACACCTTGACATACACATAAACATACATATTACAAGTATTCTTTTAAAATAGCTTTAGTGCTCCAGACCCCACACTCCCATCAACCCCAGCCAGCAGCAGGCCCCAAGAAAGCCACGCTCCTGTTTACATACTTTTAGTGTTCAAGTGGATGACTTGCTTGGGGCCTGCTGCTGGCTAGGGTTGATGGGAGTGTGGGGTCCAAAGCAACTCTCTGGTTGCTCCTCTCCCCACTTCTGACTGTGGTGCCAACACATCCTCCCTCTCTCTCCCCCACGCGGTGTCTCAGTAAGAAGCTCGGAGGAAGTGACAGGCTGTTACATCCTCTCAGCCGGCCGATAGCACAGAGGCCCAGTCAGGCTCTTAAAGGGCCACGGCACATGACCATGCCCCTGTTTAGCAATAAAGAAATAATACCCATCAGGTGGCCCTAAGTACTCGGGTCACCTTAAGGGCCCCCAAAGAGCGTGAGCCCCAGCCGTAGTTCTGCCAGTACTCCCAATATCTTTACATCTACATCACAGCCTATTTCTGAAGTATTTTTTCGTGGAACAAATGTATCTTATCTGCTGTTGCCTATTTCGATTTACTGTCTTATCCTTTAGTTCATTTTGAAACATTCTCTCCGGGGAGATGGTCTAAGTATTCTACATGTTTAGCAGCACATTGCAATTTCCAGATTGGTATCCGCTTTCTTGATCTTTAGATGCAGTGTGGTTATAGTGCCAAAAGTGCTCTGGCTCTCGTACCCTCAGAAAGTAGCCAAACCATTTTAGAACGGTTTGATTTCTTACCTGGGTTCTTGCTGGGTGTGGCTTCTTGCATCCCCTATGACCAATAAGGCAGGACTTAGGTAATTGGCTGAGAGCAATCAGTGTTAGGAGCTTTTTAAGACTCTCCTGGAGTTTACAGAGAGGCGGTGTATGGTGCTCATGGAGTCCGGGTAAGGAGTCTTAATAAAAGCATCTGAATGTTTATAATGAGGATGTGCCAAGTCACTTCTGGCACCATATCCATTACAGCATGCTATAAGGGGACATTCCACTGCCCCAATTAAAAAAAACAAAAAAAAAACAAATCTGTTTAGTAGATATGCCCATAATGAAAACATTTGTTCCATTGGTGGTATATCTAAAATCAACTTGCAAATTCAATTTCTGCATATCTTTTGTCTGCAGCCCTGTCAAACCTTCCCCTTCTGACCCCACCCAGACTTTCAGTGGCTGTCCAATCACAGAGTGCCCAATGCAGCTTAATGAGAAGTCTTTGCAAGGCAGGTGCTCGAGGTAATTACTGACTTATGAGTTAAACTACCAGTGATTAACTGGTCGGGTTGTCTCATTGACAGCCAGTGGGCTGTAATATGGTAAAGGAAAACTATAGTGTTAGGAATACAGATGTGCTATCCTAATGCTATAGTGTCAACATTTAGGGGACTGTGCCCTTGCTCAAGGTTTAAAAAAGTGATGTTTTCAGCTGCAGGGTTAAAAGGTGGGGGCATGGAACCTAGACCACTTCATTGCCTATAGTGTTCCTTTCATTTATAAAAGTGCCAATGTCTATTGAAATCGGCACCTTTTGTAAAATGAAAAAAACAGGGCACACTCTTCACACGTAAAAAAATACAATTAAAATAAAAACCAGGGCTGTCCTTGGCACATAAAATCTAACCTCTCTGTAGTCGCTTGGATAATTTCCACATTAACTGTTAAAAGATGCCCAACCTTGGCAATGAGAGGCTTCAATCACCTAAAGCACTTTAGCTTGATGACATTTTTTTGTCACTCAAAAAAAATGTTTGGTTCATACCCATAGACCCATAGCATTGTAACCACTAAAGTGAGCTGCAGTTATGTTGCTTAGAGTGCCCTTTTTTTGTAGATAAGTGATAGAGAGATCTCTCTCGCAATGTGTGTTTAAACATCTTTCAAAGAGACTGATGTTTGATCTGTGTTGCAACTAAGTCACATAGCAAAGTCAAAATCAGACCCTATCTTCAGCAGAACTAGGAGGGGCTAGAACAAAGGTGGAGTTGAACCTCAATGTATTAAATGCCCCCATATGAGCATATATGAGGAAAGGTGTTCAGGTTGTGAGTTCCTTTCTAACCTGACTGCCTGAGGAACAACACACACCTTCCTTCAGTGCATAGGAGCAAGGCAATAGCCCTACAAGGCCCTAAAGATGACCAGGATTTTGTCTGTTTTTAAGGCTGTCAGATCCTTGAAACAAGGGACTGGGGTTGCCAGTGCAGCAGCTCATTCACAATGGGGCTTTTCCAAAGCTGGACTTCGGTTCATGAGTGTAAAGGTACCGGGGCATTACTTTATTTTTATATTATCCTTATTTTCTGTTTATTTGGCCTCATGATTATTGTTGTTTTTTTATTGTACGTTCAGTCTATAATTTAAGAATAATTAAGATCAATTTGAGATACATGCATTAGTACATATTTATATAATTGAGTTAATGATAAATAATGCTTCAATAAAACCTTGCAACAACTATTGAATGAATAATTGGTGTATACATGGATCCTAGCTCTCATATATTTCAATTAGCTTGAACCTCTATATCGGCGATATTTCTCGCGAGAGAGACTGAGTACTGATATCTGGGATGCCTATAAGGCTCCAAACATCATTCTTTATGCAATGCTCTTGATTAGACTACCCCTGCTTGCAACCTACCTTTACATTTGATAAAGTCTAGCTAGGGAATTAAGAATCACTTAAAAAGGACCTATCACTCACAAAAAGTGTGAATGGACAAAGTCAATTTCATTTAAAAATTAAGATTGTACTTATTCACTGACAGTCATTTTTTGCTTAAAAAAACAATGCAGATAGCATATAAACATATAAGAAACAGCCATTTTGACTACAGATTACTGCTCAACTTTTTAGAACTATAGTGAAGGTAGTTAGTACGTGATGAAACGAGAATAATAACAGTGATCACTTTATGGGTGCTTGATGACATTTTTGGGAATATGACCTTCTTAAAAATGTCAACAGCTGTATACGCACTCATACCGCTAACTCAATTCTTCTGTAGTGTATGGAAGGATAGTCCATTTACTGTGCCTCTACAAAGTTTATGTATCAAAAGATTGGAGTCTTGAAAAATAAATTTTCTTTGCAGTTGTAAAAATAGTTAAAATATTTAACCTACATGTTCTATGAGGGGGGAATGATGCGTTTATTTACACCTTATTTCCATTAAATGCATAATTTGACATTAAACGATAACGGATGCCTACTGTCTACATGTAAAATTGCCATAGCCACCATTTTCCATAGACACACATTATATCACCATGTTGATTTGCTGTACATAAAAATTCTGCACTGCAGTATGTAGAATTCAAATGCTGCACTTTTCCAGACCGATTTACCACCTGATTTACAACCTGCTGCATCTGACTTACTGAGTACTACATACTACAGGGTAACACTTTCTATATGTTACCTTTTGGTTTGTATAAGAGATATGTGCCATAGAAAACATGGTGCAAGCCATTGTGGGATTTTTGCTCACCACCAGAGTACATTGGGTAAAGCTGCACTCTGGATAGCGGGACCATGAAGATGCCACCGCCATATTTTTAGATATCGTAATTATTTATTTATTTGTGAATCATGATTTATTAAATTTTGTTTTTTTTTACGAGACAGTAAACAAATCATACCGCCATAAAGCAATACTAACACATGAAATTTTGTAATAGACAAAGACATTTCTTCTGTAGATATGAGACAAGCACAGGGCCAGATGATCCTTGGTTTGCTTCTTACTACTTAAAAATGCTTTGACAAAGAACCAGGTTATGGCACCAAAGGTTTCTAGCACCATAACCACTCCTGTAGACTGTAGGGATTATGGTAGCTAAACTGTCCCTTTAACTAGTAAATATTTATATCCACCACTATGTCTGGCAAATAAAAAATAGTTTTCAAATCTTTTCTAATCTAATTAAAGTCTTGTGAACATTTTTAACCTTGAACTAGCAGTAAGAATGACATTATCCATAGATTTCTGGTGTTTGGTAGCACAGTTCACATGTCCTGCATACTTACATTACTCAGCAATTTAACAACGAGCCGGAGAAAATAAAGTCCACGTGGCAACGCAGCACATTCATGCTATGAGCAAATATATAGATGAACCAAAGGTGCTACTGTGTCAAAGTGTACTATATATATAGGCTACATTTTGCAATCTTGTTTTTGAGTCACCACATTTGCTGTTTATTAAATAACCCCTATTGTGACATATTGGTCAATTTGTATACCTGACAAGTTTCTTGGAGGAACAGTCTTTTTTGGGGGCCATAATCCATCTATCCCTCTTTTCTAGGAGCTCCAAATTGTTGGAGTGTATAACAGAGCTTCACAGCAATAATACTCACAGTAATGTGCCTTTAAACTGCATTAAATGTGTGTAGAAATTAGCCTGCATAAATAAGATACTTTGTTCTTGTTATACTTACATTTTTGTTGCATAAATACATTTCTCAGAATAGCTCTGGGCACACAGTCCACTCACACCCCTAAACTTAAGTGTCCTCTTTGTCCATTTGAAGTGTTGGGAGGTATGTATTTGTACAAGCTATTGCTCACTAGGATGACTATTCCAATTTACTTTACATAGTTACATAGTTACATAGGCTGAAAAAAAGACATGAGTCTTTCTCACATCTGTTTTTGCTGTTGATCCAACAGAAGGCAAAAAAAAAAACAGTTTGAAGTGGGGAAAAAAAGTATTTCTTGACCCCAGAAGGGCAGTCAGATATCTCCTTGGATCAAAAAGCAATTGCCTTACAAAATAAACATTATATCCCTGAATATTATGTTTTTGCAAGTATTTATCCAGTTGCTGTTTAAACATCTTTACAGACTCTGATAAAATCACCTCTTCAGGCATTGAATTCCACATCCTTAATGTTCTTACTGCAAAAAATCATTTCCTTTTCCTTGGACTAAATCTTCTCTTCCAGTCTAAATCCGTGACCTTGTGTCCTATGTATAGTCCGGTTTATGAATAGATTTCCAGACAATGGTTCATATTGGCCCCAAATATATGTGTATAATCTTATCATATCCCCATAAGGTGCAGTTTTTCAAAACTAAACAGATTTACATTTGTTAACCTTTCTTCATAGCTAAAATGTTCCATTACTTTTATTAATTTAATTAATTAAATTAATAAGGGAAATACCTTACTGGCCTTTGCAACTACTGATTGACATTGCACATTGTTACCTAGTTTGTTGTCTATAACAATTCCCAAATCCTTCTTGTGTGTTGCTATGCCTAATGTACTACCATTTAAGGTGTAACTTGCCTGTGCATCCTTACCCCAACGCACATAACTTTGCTTTCATCTACAATAAATGTAATCTTCTATTTGAGTGCCCAGTCCCACAATCTATCTAAATCCCCCTGTAGCAAAGTAATATCCTGCTCACATTGTATTACTTTACAGAGTTTTGTGTCATCTACAAACAGTGAAACATGACTTTAAATGCATTTTTCAAGATCATTTTTTAAATATGTTGAATAGAAGCGGTCTACAATTTACCACTTTTGTCCAGCTTGAAAATGTACCATTAATGAAAACTCTGTGTACTTTGTCTTTAAGCCAATGTTCTACCCAAAAACACAATTTTTCATCTAGATCAATTTCTTTTAGTTTGACCATTAACTTATTGTGTGGAACCATATTGAACACCTTGGCAAAATCCACGCAGATCACATGCACTGCAACACCCTGATCTATACTTCTACTTACTTCTTGGTAGAATGAAATTAAGGTAGTTTGACATGACCTATGTTTCATAAAACCATGCTGATTTTTGCTAATAACAATGTTCATCCCAATGAATTCCTGAA